TCGCAACTATAAGGTTGTACCGATGGTTTGTTAGCTCGCAAATGCTAAAATGCTAAATGTTAAATAGGTCACAAACGCTATCAACCAAGGCGTTGTGTGTATATGGGGTGGGGAGGGGCATAATAATATGTCTCAGGTGTCTAAAAGTTCAGAAAATGACAGTGTAAACACGAAGACAGCTTGCAATAGTCGGATCGGTCTGACTAACTGTCATCTAGGCAACGCGTCGGCGTTTGCAGTTCCTACGGGGATCATAAGTTCTGCCTGTGTAACTGAAATCAAGGTGGCAGTATTATGTTTAACATATTACATATGCATGTTACATACAACATACAGTGTATTAATATATTTGCATCAAGACAAATGTGGTGAGCATTACCCAATGAGAAGAACGTTGTGTTGCTGGTGCTGTAGCTTGTGGGGCATGCTTGTGTTTTATGTTAAGATTTGAAGTTTATCGATTGCCGACATGAACCGAAAAACTACGTAGTGCTAGGTGTCAAGTTACTCTGAGAAACTCATCCCTGGTAGTGTTTTTTTGGGAATTTATTACAATGTATTCAAAACGATTCATAGCCAAGAGTATACGTAAAGGTACACATGTTTATCGGCTTTCTTGGCCAATTACTTTTATACCTAATAGACAATGTTTAAGGCAACGTACGGAAAATAAAAAATCATACATAACACATACACACATACACATACACGTATATATATGTTTATATATATACATTATACATATATATATATATATATATATATATATATATATATATATATATATATGTGTGTATATATATATATATGTGTGTGTGTGTGTGTGTGTGCGTGTGGTGTGTGTGTGTGTGCGTGTGTGTGTGTGTGTGTGTGTGTGTGTGTTGTGTGTGTGTGTGTGTGTGTGTGTGTGTGTGTGTGTGTGTGTGTGCGTGTGTGTGTGTGTGTGTGTGTGTGTTGTGTGTGTGTGTGTGTGTGTGTGTGTGTGTGTGTTGTGTGTGTGTGTGTGTGTGTGTGTGTGTGTCTGTGTGTGTGTGTGTGTGTGTGTGTTCACACATCTGGCAAATTCTCAGATAGGAAGAAACCGTAGAAAACTTAATGGCCAGGACAACAGTCATTATCATTCATATAATTCACCAACGTTTCGATACAATGGCACATCACCTTCAGGACACAAGGGTACAAATGTACTACGAAATAAAGGCACATTTAACATGCATCGCTATAAATGGTAGCAGTCATAACTAACACAATTCAACACGACTTATTTGCGCGCAATTTTAACACCCTGATGGATAGCAATTGTAGCCTTGTGAACCAATCGTACTTTTTTGGGCTGCACGGGCAGAAAAGTTAAGTATAATTATGTTACCTACGGCCATTACTCTGTCCAGCTATGCCTGTTAAATGTACTGTTATTTTCCTGTGGCTTCGTGCCCTTGTGTCCGGATCATGACTCAAAATTGTATGGGAACGTCGACGAATCAAAAAATGATAGCGGCTGCCATCCCGACCATCAAATGTTTACTGCTTATATATGTATATATATATATATATATATATATATATATATATATATATATATATATATATATACATATATATATATATAATCTAATCTATATCTATATCTATATCTATATCTATATCGATACCTATATATATACATGTATGTATGTTTGCATGTATGCGCATGTGTATCTGTTAATGGCCAATGGTGCCTCCTGGGTGTCCTCAGAGTACAGGTGACCCGTTTCAAGAAACATTCTATGCAGGGCAAAATTCTGTGTCCGCATCTGAGAGGCGCAGTCCATGGGGCTCATGTTATCTTCGTGTGTGAACCGTTATTTTCTTCACTTTTAGACACCTGGGGAATATCTGCATAGCCCTCCTCATACACACATTATACTCTGCTTGTTGGCATACATAAACTTATGAACCATCTGCACCTCTTTTTTGTTGCGATGCACTATCGAAAACATATACCTAATAATGCCCTCGCAGCACACCAGCAGTGCGCAGTTTGTGTTGCAAAAATGTCCGGCAACAATTGTATTCTACCATCTCAGAGACATCAACAAACAGCTAATCCCCGGGTCTGTCTCCCCGGACCGAGTTTATCCACTCCTATGTAGAGTTGACGTTGTCCAGCGTCGACTTTGCTGGAGCCGAGCACACAAAGTCGAGTGTTTCGGTGCAGTTGGCCGTGCCCCAGCCGCCGTTGCCGTCGGCGTTGGTCACGACACAGCCGAGCCACCCGTCCGCCGGCTGCCCAGCCGCCCAGTGGGCGTACTCCAGGGCACCTCCGTCGGCCCACCTATATATGTCGCCGTCGCGGGTCAGGCCGATGAAGGCCGGCGTGCCGTAGGTCAGTGACGTCACGGCTCTGTTGGCGGCGGCGTCTCGGACGAGTGCGAGGCGCGCGTCCTGAGCAGCCACCTCGCACCAGACCACCGCCTCCTCGTGACTCGTGGGGAACAGCTTGCGCCAGTAGCAGAGCCCGTGCACGACGGGCGCGTCTGTTGGACACGCGGCACTTGCTCCGCCCGTCGAAAGCAGCAGCAACAGACAGGCGACCGTTGCGAACATCCCGAGAGAATCGTCCACTTTCGGAGGGACCACTGCGCGGGGGGTCGGCGGAGCCACCCGGCGTCAGCTGTCGCCGTCACAGGCCGAGGGAGACGTCTGAACACGCACGAGCGGTTTGCCAGTCGTGTTCTTGTCTCGGGATGTGGATAAGCAAATAAACTTGAGAAATATGCGAGTGAGATAGTCAGGAAGTAAATGTTCGAGTTCACACCTGAATAAACGGGGCTGAGAAAATTTAGCAACAAAAAAGCTCTTAAATAATTTCTTACTGTGAATTATTGGGAGATTAGAGTGTGGGTTGAGCGAAGGCAGCCTCTAAAAATTTCCAGACCACAAGCACATCACAATTTTACATGTTATGTAAACAGACTTGTTCACAGCGCGATATCAGTATATATCCGTGTTGGCACAACTGTCGCACTCCCATGCGTTCAAAGTTCTCCGACCGTTTTGACGAAGACGCCCACGTGTGGCGTCGGCGCTGACATTCCACGGCACACGCCTCTGACCAGCCTCCCTCCGTTCGAATTGTCCTGGTTCCCCTCTCACATCGTGGCGCGATCACCCACATCGCGGCGTGATCATCCACATCGTGGCGCGATCATCCACATCGTGGCGGGTGGCGCGACATCGCGAAAGTCGCGCTATTGTTCCATTCACCGTCGCAGCCATGCGCTGACCTGGTAGCCACTCTTCCGTCGCTGCTGTGGGAGCGGGTACTGCGCGCCTCTCCCCGGCAGGCGCGACGGTGTCCGGCATGTCCTCCCTCAGGACGGAGAGCGCCACCTCCGATCATGGCATTGTCACTATCCTGTGCCGGGGCGTGGTGCGGAGAGGCAGCGTGAGACTCGCGCCCGACGAGGCAGCTAACCGGGATGTGGCGTTACTGGCGGTCGGCCGGCATTCATCGGCCTGAGCAGCAGCAGCGGGGAATACCGGAGGCCTGACGACCGACGAAGTACGCTCACTAAGCGGGTGGCCGGCCGACGAAGGAGCAGCTGAAGCACGTTATCGTCAACGGCAACGGCGACTGAGAGGTGAACATCTGCACGGAACCTTCAACTTTGTTTGCTGGGCGCCGGCAGAATGAGATTAGGATGGCGCAGATGCGACTGATGGCACGTATTGGTCCCCATAACGTTTAGTGTGCACCATCGCTTTATCCAAAATTACAGTGCCTCAGTGATGTTTTGCCAAGATATTGCGTACGTCAATGAGACTACGTTTAGAGGCGTGAGGCTGCGCGAAGTCCACGTGGAGGAAAAACGACATGCCTTCTCCAGTTCGAGAAAGTGCTGACTCTATCTTCCGGCCTCTCAATCGCATACGTGATTAGACAATTCGCAACCGTCTGTGAAAGTGCACTGCCTATTGATTCCCATTGGTCCGCGCGTGACCGGGCCGAATGGACGGGTATCAGATGAATAACACACCTCACTCTTGCGCATACCCATTTCAATGACCGCGTAAAATTAAATTAATTGAATTAACGTCTACGACCTCTGGTTCCTTTGTCTCAAAACTGTCTTCCAGATTCCAGTCTGTAGTTGCGAATACAGTTATTTACGCAAGTTGTCAGCATTGTCCAATGATGTGAGGACCACACGTATTTGGATTCACTCTTTGCTGGTAAAGGGAAAGCCAAGCTACTAAATTTAGCAATTGTTTGGCCGTTCCTGACCCACATCACGGACAAAACGGCGCGTGTTTCTTATTTTGCAACAGCGTGGCAAATGTGGCAAAGCCCTACCAACTCTGCTGCGTGTTTTATTAGCCATTGATTGAGCAAGCAGATATCATGTAAAACGTCAGCAGATATTCTATAAAAAGCTGGCATGCAAGCAGGAGAACCAACAACAGACTAGGCAACAAGCAATACACGCTAGTCATATACTTGTCACTTGAACAAACATTTTTCTGGAGCATCATGCACGCTCTCACAAGTCAATCAAAATACTTGTGTCATCGGGAACCCGCTTTTGAAGCAAAGGTCCTTTCTGTGGGCAGCGACTATATTACAGAAAGAACGCAGAGCCCCCGCAAGAACAATGACCAGCGTTATGTGTGTCACGGCACTTCAGTATAATGTCGAAATGACAGACCTGAGCTACATACCTTTCTTACGCCCTGACTGGCGTATCTACTACGCACCATTATCCAACGCCTAATCGCTCTTCGTATCGTCCCTTCTGTAATGAGGCGCCAAGTGTTTCACCACATCTTCTCTGTATTTTAGTATCGCACCGTCAGGGCTGCAAGCACCTGCATTCGCTGCTCTCCGAACGGCGACTCTCCGACAGCGGGGGCCGCGAGCCGGGGCCGTGCGAACTGCGGCGGCGGCGCGCGTCTGCCGCGCGGCCGGAGCCGGCCTGCGAACCTGACCACGTGCCGCGCCCCGTCCCAGCAGGGGCGCAGGGCGCATACAACTGCACTACGAACACCTTTCCAAGCGGTCACCAATGTCCCCACTAGAATCAGAAGCCTTGAACTAGAATAAACTAGAATAACCCTGTGAATTCTCTAGCAAGGCTAACCGTACATTTCCCACCACGCCCACAGCGACGAGTCTACCTCGCGACGTCACCGCTCTCAGCCCCATCTGTCGGGGCTACCCTCGACCACCGACGTCGGCCCACACGGCCGAATACGCACGCTCATACCGCAGCGCAGCCAGGGCGCGCATGACGCCCGTGTTCACGGGTCTCGTGCACACAACACAGGGCAGACCGTGCTGCAGGCAGAGCTGTGTCAGGTGCGCTAGCACTAGCCGGCCCAGGCCGCGCCGCCGCTGCGTCGCCAGCGTGTGCAGGAAGCCGATGCCGCCGTTCCTGTCTACCACAGCCCAGGACATCAGCCGCTCGTTATCAAGTGACGACAATGAAGATGTTGCCGACGACGATGCTGAAGACGATGCTGAAGGCGATGCTGGATGCGATGCAGAGGGCAAAGCTGACGGCAAGACCGGAGGGGAGGTCTGTGACGAGATCGGCGCGACTGCCGAAGCTGATGCTGTTGACGATGGCGGAGGCGATGCCCCGTGGCTGAACGCACCGGCGGAAAGGCCCCGTAAAACGCCGTCTCTGATGATGCCGTCGACGCCCGGGACGTGGTCGGAGTACTCCCAGAAGCGCTTCACTTGGTCCACATGTCCCTCATTGAGCGGGCGGATGACGACACCGGCTGGGCTGTCGGCAGAGGGTGGGCGCAGCGGATGGCATCGTGGTTTCGAGAGCTGTTTTGTGCTGATAACTTAGCTCGTGTTCTACTGATAACCGCACCAAAAGACGGCGTAAAACATCACAGCTGCCCTCAAAACGAACACATCACAACAGTAGAAGCGGGTAGAAACGGAAGGGAAAGCAGTGGAGCTAGCTACACGCCCCCAGAGCCAAGGCAGCAGTGTAGGGGTAGTTTGTCTTACTTTTAAGCTCTAGAAAACATGCCTGACGTTTCACCCCATCTACCAGCCATCAGTCGCAATCCGTGCAGAACGAGACTTCTTCATAGCATAATTGCATGCCTTCGTTTATAGTCTGAATAGCTATGACAACATCTTATGCCATCAAAAACAGCGAGCGGTGTGAGCTTATTTTGAGGCAAACTTAAGCGTTCTCTACCCAGAACCCACTTCCCGTAGAACTCAGATATGTATGTTGCTCGGCTTCGGTTATTCCTGCTCGTTCAGTCTCCCCAACATAATGCACATATTCGTAAGACTAAAGGTGGACGCATGGAACTTGACATACCATTTGGATAACGGAATACGGACACGGATGAATAACGGGACCCTTGTCTTACACACAGCGGCGGATCAAGCCAGCTGTCCGGGAGGAAAGGGTAAGCCTGCGTATGCGCATGCCCGGCGGGCCGACCCATGCTTCAGCCAGCCAGCCTCCCGGAATATAATGTGTATTGGAGCATCTGGGAGTCCTGCTTACTGGCTACATCCCAAACTCTTACATCCTGGTTACTGATTACATCCCATCCCATCCCACGAAAGTCCTGGTTACATCCCAAACTCTTACCTTCGGCCCAAGAAATGACACCAAAATCCTGACGCCAGCCACTTCCCACTCGCTTCCCCGTGGCCAGATTCCCCGGTGGAAGACCCTAGCCACTCCCACGTGCCCGTTCTGAGTGCGGGAGGCCGCCTGTGTCCCGCTATGACCACACCTGACCTACCATTCAAGCACGTGCTCCGGCGGCTGGCAACTCTCCTGCACGAAGAGGTCAAACGGCGCGAGCCCGTCCCACGTGAGGCCTCGTTCCTCGGCGGCCGTCCTCAGCACGTGTGCCACGTGCAGGGGCACGCCGTCGGCGGTGAAGGGCGTGCCCCAGAGCTGGAGGCCCGGGGCGCGCAGGGCCGCGGCCAGGCACCGCAGGCTCGCCGCGTCCTCTCGTGCGAACACGCCCAGCGCGTGATGGCCGTGCCACTGACGCTGGGGGCGGAACAAGGGCTGGCGTTAGCCGCGACGGAACCAGGCGGTGGACTGGGCCACCGCCGACCGAAACGGGGCGGAGGTGACGGCACTGGCGCCTGAGCAGGAAGAGCGAGCGGCATTGTCGCACGCTAATTGACTACCCTAGGTGTAATCGCCGGAGATACTGAAGTGACTCGCTGGGATATCAGATCAGTGCACATATGAGTCCATAGGGGGGAAATAAGAGAACAAGCCCCACGTGAAAACACCCTTGACGGGAAACGGACCGAACACCGAATGTCGCGAATGGACTTTGGAATCACAACTGCGTGGCTTACCTCGCTCATGCGCAACAGAACCAGATCATTAGGTGTTCAAAGTACAAGGTGCAATGGAATGCCTGCAGGGCCAGGGACCTTGAATGGACAGGTAGAAAAGGTAGAGTTACCGCCATGCTCACCAAAATTGGGCGAGAGGCAGGCGACGCCATACAGCCTCAGCAGATGAGTGCGTCGTAAAGCCCATGACACACCCACCCACGCACGCACGCACGCACGCACACACACACCCCACGCACCACCCACGCACGCACACACACACACCACACAACACCAACACACACACACGCACACGCACGCACGCACGCACGCACGCACGCCACACCGCACACCACGCACACACGCACGCACGCACGCACACAAGCCAGTGGTCCTCACCTCGACACTATTCATGAACTGGTTAACACTTGCGGAAGTATCCAAGGTGCTAATTATCGGTAAATTATTTGACTACTCCTTCAGTCGTGCGTCACTGGCCATGTGGCGCACGTCGTCCAGAGATAGCCACACCCATAGTCCGGTCATTAAGACTCTGTTTATGTTCCATGAGCGAACTTACCGTAATTGTTATGACGACCAGGGGCGTTTGACCAGACTCTTGGCTGGCATAGATGCGGCAGGGACATGTGGGTTGACGCCGCTCTGTAAGAGCAGGAGCAGACACCGACTCTGGAGGCGAGAAAGTGCGTCACAGTTACTGGATCACCCTTAGCAGGGGCACCACAACTTATGAAAACGACTCGTTCCCGCTCGAAAGTGGTTTGGCATTCGTGTGGTGCTATGTATACGAGGCGGCAAGCGGACGTATGCCCTGGGACATAGTTTCAACTCCCACGGCTTTGTGTTGATGGCCCCCACAACGCTTCGTGTGTACCAATCAGCAAACCGCAATTCCGGCCAATCAGCCAATTCGTGCTTCGCTGATTGGCGAATCAGTGACCGGCATCAAGACAAGCCGCAAACTCAAGCGTTTTAATGACATGATGACGATTTGGATTCTAGGGTGCGTCGAACCCGAGATAATGCTGCGCCCATAACGGCTGTTTACGACTGTGTTACGTTTTAACTAGCAATGAAACAAATACAGCTGAAAATTGATGCCTCTTCGAAATAGCTCAAGATGTCTAAGGTGCGGACAAACATCGACCTGAACCTGAACCTCGGTTAATGCAAACAAACATGGACCTGAACCACCGGTTAATACTCACAGACTACCTACCTGCGACAACAATCACTGACAAACCCTTTGCACCATGCACTCCATGCTCCTGAAGACGCTCAATCAGGCAGCCAATGTCGGCCACGCTCACTTCTCGCAGAGGCGACTCCACTTCGGAGTCCATCGCGACGCTCGCGCCGTTCCCGGCCGCCGACGCCGGCACCAGAAGCCCTCTGACGGACGCCTGTCGCAGCCCTGGTCTGGCGGACGCCTGGCGCAGACCAGACGCCCACCGCAGCCACCAACGGGCCGCCGGCCGGCCCTGCCCGCCCCCCCCCCCCCCCTTCCCTCAGTGTCTTATTTGATCTGTGTATTAGTTGTAGTCACCGTATCACGAGATGTTCCCCCTTAGGGTTGTATGCCCACTGTGTGGGTACCATTGATCCTTATTTGATCCGTGTATTGGCGCAATCAAATGACAATCACCACGAGATGTTGCCCCCATTGCCTGAATTGTGTGCTACTGATTCTCATCTAATCCGTATATTGGTGTTATCACGCGACAATGATCAAGAGATTCCCCCTTCCCCTTTTTTCTGCTGGCGACACGTGTGCACGTGTTGTACTGATTATTATCTGATCGGTGCAGTAGTGAAATCATATGGAATCAACACGAGATGTTCCCCCCACCCCCGGACTGCTTGTAGCACTCCGGGGTGTAGCCCCCCCCTTCCCTTGGCTGGCCGGCCGGCTGTGGGTTTTCCCCTCCCTTCCTTGTCCATTGTCTTTGGACACCGCGGCCGTCTCGTCTGGCCGCGGTGAGGTCGCCGAAGGCACACCGCCCTTGCGGCTACGATCCTGCGCCGCGTTTCGGCGCCGCACGCTCGCCGTGCACCTGGGCGGTGTCAGCGCGTGATGTGTTATCAGTGTGGCTGCAATCCATGCAGCGTTTAACGGGGCCTGAAGCGGCCCCCGCCGACGGCCTGCCCCCCCCCCTGCTCACCATGGGGAGGGAGGGGAACCCGCGCCCCACCCCATTGGCGGCACGCTGCGCCGTGCCGTGGGGTTGTGAGGATATATTGTATTAGTTTGTAAAAACATTGTGTCCCGTGTACAGGCACCCCAGAGCCTGGAGCGCATCCGTTTTTCTTTTTCCTATTCCCTGTAATCAAACATGTACTTTGACGAATAACAAATCTGTTCTTATCAGCTTAATATCTGATACGTCCCCTACATGGTGACCAGAATATTAAACTGATTTTGAACATGGCGGGGTTAGTGGAGCTTGCTCCCGCCCTGCCGCGGGTTGGCCTGGCATTGCACTACAGCCAGGATCGGCCCATTTTATGCTGTCAGCGGTGTCAATAAATCAATATGTTCTAATACATGTATAATCAGTATGCGTTTCAATATGGGTTGGCGCTTATGCTGCATGCGCACCGCTGCTGGCGCACAGCCAACACGCATCACCTCAGATGCCTCGCCCGATGCCAGCTTGCTGCGGTTACATGCAGATGACACGCATCCGCGTAACAAAACCCTGCACAAACACACAATGGCGAGAGCCAAACAACAAAATCAATGAATACATGACAAAACAACGAGAAACAGACCCCAAAAAACAAAACCAACACAAAACAACAACAGCCATCAAATTTCAACACCATGGCGACGGGCGAAAGCACATCATTGACAACAGCTCAAAGCCGGCCGATGCCATGTCACCAACAGCGCGTGCCGTCAGGCCGGCAACATGCAGCGCCAACGCATCACAGGGTTGTACAAGCCAACGCGATACAGACGAAGCGCCTGACAATGACCATGGCCGCCGGCTGTCCATAACAGTTTTGCACGCCCCACGCCAGATGTCTCTGTCGGCGGCGTGACATTCACGCATCGCCTGCAGGTCGGCCAATGGTCGGCTGTCTGCCCTGCTCCAGCGCACGAGCACCGCAGCCGGAGGCCGTGCGCCCTTGCTGGCCTGGCGCCGTTGCTGGCCCGTTCCACACCTGCGTGGGTGTCTTCGCTTCCGAAGCACGGCCGCCCTGTACCACGTGACTCAGCACGACGCCGCGCTCAACTTGCAACAAGTCGGCAACAGAAGTCGGCAAACTATAGGTGACATTTACACATCGCGCGACACTCGGAACAGATAATGTCCACGTTTACCTGCCGAAGGGGATGCAGGTTTCAGAAGAGAAGGTGAGAAGAAGTGAGAAGGTGAGTGAGAGGAGGCGAGAAGCAGACGTTTTAGTCTGCTTCTCACGGCAGTCGTGCAGCGCCTGGATTGCGATCCCTGGATCGGGGAGCATCTTTCCTCTAAAATGTGACTGTGGGTCGCATCGGCCTGACAGCGGGGACTAGAGCGCAACAAATCGTACATGTTTGTGCCCATTGACTCGGGCACACTCGGAGCAGGCGCCTTTTCGGAAGTACACGGGTCTCTGAAATTGTTTTGCTAATCTAATTTCGACGTCTACCGCGTCATTTCTGATGTTTTTGTACTCTCAAGTTGGTTTTTCAAAAAATGGCGGTATAAAGAATTTCCATTACATGGGCTCAAAGCAGAATGCTAATATCGAGCTCCTTGACAAATCAAGGGAGGCAAGCAGCGTTCGCCGTTGGAAAATGGGAGCAGGGTTATTATTGGTTATTGGAAATGTGTCTTTTCTGTCGCCGACGAAATTTGGAGAAGCTCAATTGTCATCTGGGGCCAAATCCATCACAGGTCATTGCAATATAACTATAAATACGATAAACCACACACACATAACCGATAAAGAGCAATGCGCCATAAGCATCATAAATATTTCCTTTTTCGGAATTTGCATTTGCCCTTAAGTATCACTTGCTGGCCATACTAAAAGAACTAGAAACTAGAAAACTAGAAAGTTTTGAAGAAAGGTCCCCATATTGCCGCGTATACCATACCTGTGTAGCTTGAGAAGGATGCCTTGACGCCATGTGGTGTCATAGGCACCCTCTATGTCAAAGAACACTGCGCCTATGTGTCGGATTGCTTTAAATCCCATACGAATCGCAGTGTCAAGAACTAAAAGATTGTCAACTGTGCTGCGATTCTTTCTAAGCCACACTGGTGTTTGTAAAACGCCGTGGTGTTCTAAAAACCAAGTTAAAC